CAGAGACCGAACGAAGATGAATGAAGACCTGCTGAAAACTGGAGACCTCAGTCTGACCCTGAAATACCCCACAGACTGGGACAACTGGACCTACACCTGCACCGTCTACAGCAGGGAGGGAAACATCCTGCTGAAGAAACAAGTGCAGCTGACAGTCAGAGGTCAGTGCTATAGATACAAGTCAAAGGTCAGAGGTCATGCAGGAGTTTATTCTCTAAAACCTTTTAGTTTGAATCTATTTTCAGTTCATTCAAATAAAACAAATTCTTTAATGTTTTGATCTATAAGCCAAAAATGTCAGGCGGAACAACTGTGTGTTTAAATGAACAGACTAAGAAGACCACTAAAATGATCCTAACTTCAAAATAAAAGCCTCTGGCATGACGTGAGTTTGGATCAAATCAATAGTTTTGCTAGTTTAGTCCAAATCAATGTAAATGTATAAATATCAATAGTTTTAAAGCTGCTGAGATCATTCAAACACTTTGATCCAGTCATTTGGATGTTGTCAAATGTCAACCAACCAACACCTGGGTGGAGTCCCAGCTGAAGCTGAGAGATACTCAGAGATCAGAGACAGAAGCAGCTGTATGGAAGCGTTCTACAGGACGGCTGACACAAACCTGATGTTACTGATGTCTCCTAGATAGATCTCATGGACCAAAGGCTCTCTGTGTCATCTCGGCTCCAGCTGAACTAAACTGAGAGTGAATTTGGGCTTTCGGGGAGGGGTGAAAGCAGAGCGCTGTAAAGGAAAGGGCTGTGATTGGTTCAGAACACGTCAATGAGAAGAAAGGAAAGCTTCAGAGCAACATGAATGAAACAAAGTGTTTTGATGATGACTGAAAGCCAAAACTGTCCCTGAAATCAGAATCCAGTTCATCTCCAGCCCTGTCAGCAGTTCCAGCTGCAGTGCTGTTACAATAATAGTCATCACTTCTAGTTTCACAGCAGCAAACTGGGAACATTCAGCGTCTCAAAGATTGACCTGTTAGCACCTGCAGACATTGTTGAGCTGGCTCTGCTGATCTTGTCTTCATTTCTCCACTATTTGGAGAAGCTTCAGCAGGATCCGCAGTCAGAGTCAAAGTGGAGTTCTAGCATGGACGTGATGCTTCAAGAAGCTTCAGACAGACAGTGTTCTCCAAAAGTTCTGCTCTAAAAGGAAACTTTGAGCTGGCTCTGTGATTGTTGTAGTCAGAAGGATGGAGGCTGGATCTTTGAAGAGCGTCAGCGTACTGACACGGCTGCTTCTGCCTGATCACTTGGAAAAATGATCTCAAACAGAATCCATCAATGATCAGAGAGAAACACATCAGCTCAAAGCCTGGAGTTCATACTGAAGCCCACAGTTATATGTAGGCCAACAACACGCTGTTTGAAACCAATGAATTTACTGTACTGAGGAACTCAAATGAGTCAGTAAGATCATCAACATCGATCTTAAAATCAGCAGCTCAGATCATGTGATCACACATAAGAACCATGGAGCAGGAAACATCTGAGAGTTCAGCTGCAACTCTGATGGAGTCTTAGGAGGGCGGAGATACCTGCACAGATAGGAGCTGTTTCAAACTTTAACAAGCGGCACCTCCAAACTACACCCTTCATCCACCTTAATAGGGGAGCATTTGAAGTGTCGAAAATGTCCCAGAGGGTCGGGCCGGGAAAAGACAGAGCAGAGCGCACGCCTCCTTTATTGTGAAATTCCTCACCATGGTAACTGAACACATCAGCTGGTCTGCAGCAGGTCATGTTCAGAGTTTGAGGCTCAAAGTGTCCAATTTTCACTGATTGTTTCCCGACGACATGCTTCAAGTGTGATATGGATCCTCTGCTGAAGGAATCTGCTTTCTATCCACAACCTGTTGATCCATGTCTGGCTAACAGCAGCGCAGGAAGCCCTGCAGTTACAGAGAAACTGTCTGAGTCGCATTGTTGCTGCAGTTTACCTGCAACTACTGTGAAGAAAATGTTACGGTTGGGAGGAGGACTCAAGCGCAGGACTCCGGTACTGATGCTTACAAGAAGAGTTTATTTACAAGTCACCAGGTGTATATACAAGAATGTGCGGGAGGGTGTTATATACAGCTGAGTGGGGGGAGAAGGGGTCTCCAGGAAAGTCCAAGGGAAGCATACGTTCTTCAGAATATCCACTCACATGATCACTGGCTCACACTCTGACACTGCCACACGGGAAACACACGGGGAAAAATCCAAGAGGTTCTGTAGACAGGGAGACAGGGTTAAGGACGACGCACAGAGGAAAACACTCTTCACTAAACTTGCTGTAGCTTGACTTCACTAACGCGTGGTAGACAACGATCCAGCGACGAACAGCAGTCACCTCCTGGCTTAAATGCTGCTCCCCTTAATGAGACCCAGGTGTCTCATCTCCTGAGGGCGTGGGCCGAGGGCGTGAACCCACAGTGAGTTCCGCCCCGGCGAGAGAGGAGAGGAAGAGAAAGAGACAGAGAGGGCTGATCAGCATGCAGCTGATCCGCCTGGCCGTGACAGTACCCTCCCCAACGGGAGCCCCTTGGCGACCCCCAGGCTTGTCAGGGTGAGCCGCATGGAACACCCGCACCATACCCCGATCCAAGAGGGCCGCCCGCGGGATCCAAGAATGCTCCTCCATCCCGTAGCCCTCCCAATCCACGAGATACTGCAGACCGTGCCCCAGGCACCGGACATCCATGATCCTCGACACGGTGAAAGCCGAGTGGCCAGCAATGACCCGGGCGGGTGGAGGGGGTACGGAAGGAGGGCACAGAGGACTAGAGAGGCATGGCTTCACCTGCGACATGTGGAAGGTGTTATGGATCTTCATATTCCGGGGCAGTTTAAGACGGACAGAGACAGGGTTAATCACAGAGTCGACCTCAAAGGGGCCAATGAAAGTGGGAGACAGCTTCTTGGATTCAGACCTGAGCGGAACAAATCTGGTAGACAGCCTCTGTCCAGGTGTGTAGGTGGGAGCAGGGGTCCGGTGGCGATCCGCCAGGCGGTTATTGCATTCCGCCGTGCAGAGAAGGGAGGCCCGAGTCGCTCTCCAGGTGCGCCGACACCTCCGAAGATGCTGCTGGACAGAGGGAACAAAGTGCTCACCCTCGACGGCCGGAAAGAGCGGCGGTTGATAGCCCAAGGACGCCTCGAAAGGGGACACACCGGTGGCAGAGGAGGTAAGGCTGTTATGAGCATACTCGATCCATGACAGTTGCTCGCTCCAAGTCGACTGGTTAGAGGAGACCAGGCACCGGAGAGCCGCTTCGAGCTCCTGGTTGGCACGCTCCGTTTGGCCATTTGTCTGCGGGTGGAAACCAGAGGAGAGGCTGACCTGGGCTCCGAGGGCATTGCAGAACTCCTTCCAGACCCGCGACGTGAACTGCGGTCCCCTGTCCGACACAATGTCCGCGGGGATTCCATGGAGGCGAAACACGTGGTCAGTTAGTAGCCGGGCGGTTTCCAGAGCAGTGGGGAGCTTAGGAAGGGCGACAAAATGAGCAGCTTTGGAGAAGCGGTCCACAATGGCGAGAATAACAGAGTTACCTGACGAGGCGGGCGGACCTGTGATGAAGTTGACAGCGATGTGTGACCAAGGGCGACTCGGAGTCGGCAGAGGGCGAAGGAGGCCAGAGGGGGTTGATGGACGCTGTTGTTTTGAGCGCAGGTCGAGCATGCGGAAACATATTCGCGGACGTCCTTGGCAAGGGAAGGCCACCAGGCGAAACGTTGGAGGAAAGTAACAGTGCGGTGGACCCCCGGGTGGCAGGTGAATCTGGCAGTATGAGCCCAATGTAACACTCATGACCTTACTGAGGAGGGGACGTAGAGCAACCCTGGAGGTCCCGTTCCGGGGTCCGGTTCAGTCCGCTGAGCCTCTCGAATAGCCGACTCGATCTCCCAGGTCAGGACCCCGATTACACAAGTGGGCGGTAGAATGGAAGAGTCCCGGGTCGCGTCTTCGGAGGCGGCGAATTGGCGTGAGAGGGCGTCTGGCTTGACATTGCGGGAACTGGGTCTGTAAGTGATGGTGAACTGGAATCTAGTAAAAAACAAGGCCCACCTGGCTTGCCTGGCATTGAGGCGTTTTGCCGATCGAATGTACTCCAGGTTCTTATGATCGGTCCAGACCACAAATGGCTGGACAGCACCCTCCAGCCAATGGTGCCACTCCTCCAGGGCTAGCTTGATGGCCAGTAGCTCTCGATCTCCCACATCGTAGTTGCTCTCTGCGGAGGTGAGACGGCGTGAAAAGTAGGCACAGGGATGCAGCTTACCTCCGTGCCGCTGGGAAAGCATCACTCCAGCGTCCGAGGCGTCCACCTCCACAACGAACTGCCGGTCGAGATCGGGTTGGACGAGGATGGGCGCCGAGGCAAAGCGGTCCTTCAGACGGGTGAATGCTCGTTGAGCCGGCCCATCCCAGCAGAAGGGAACCTTGGGGGAAGTAAGACGGGTCAGAGGCAGGGCAAGTGTACTGTAGTCGCGAACAAAGCGCCGATAAAAGTTCGCGAACCCCAGAAAGCTTTGAAGCTGTCTACGGTTGGAAGGGGTCGGCCAGGCCACAACGGCTTGAACCTTCGCGGGATCAATCTTGAGGTTACGCCGATCGATGACGTGGCCCAGGAAGGCAATAGTTGAGACATGAAACTCACACTTCTCCCCTTTAACAAAGAGACGGTTTTCAAGGAGACGCTGAAGGACTTGCCTGACATGGCGTTGGTGGTCGGCGACAGATTGGGAGAAGATGAGGATGTCATCCAAGTAAACAAAAACGAAACGGTCGATGAAATCCCGGAGCACGTCATTCACAAGAACCTGAAACACAGCCGGAGCATTGGAGAGACCGAAAGGCATCACAAGATATTCGAAATGACCCAGGTGAGTGTTGAAAGCCGTCTTCCACTCGTCTCCCTCCCTAATCCTCACCAGATGGTAGGCGTTGCGCAGGTCCGACTTTGTGAAGATGGTGGCACCCTTGAGAAGCTCGAACGCGGAACTCAGCAGGAGTTGAGGCCACGATAGTCAATACAGGGCCGTAAACTTTTATCTTTCTTGGTGACAAAAAAGAAACCGGCGGCAACAGGCAAGGACGAGGGGCGAAAGAGACCAGCGGCAAGTGACTCATTGATGTAATTTTCCATGCTGTCCCGCTCTGGTCGAGACAAGCTATACAACCTACTGGTCGGGAGCGGCGCGCCTGGGAGGAGGTCAATCCCACAATCGTACGGCCGGTGAGGGGGAAGGGAGCGTGCCTTATCTTTACAAAACACTTGCGCCAGGTCATGATAAACAGATGGTATGGAGGACAAATCAGGCGGTTCTGAAGTAGTTCTACTGGGCGGTAGACTCATGGCGGGGGTGGCAGCTCTTAAACAGGACATGTGACACTCCTTCCCCCACCCCGAAATACGTCCCTTCCCCCAATCAATCACTGGGTTATGTCGACATAGCCAGGGAAAACCCAGGACTAGTGGTGTGAGTGGGGCTTTAAAGACGTACAACTGTACGGTTCAACATGATTGCCAGAAAGAGACAGGGAAATCGGTTCCTTGACATGAGTAATGTCAGGAAGACGCTGGCCACTAAGGGCTGTGACCTGGAGTGAATGAGACAGAGGCTCCGTGCCAAAACCTAATTTTAGCGCAAGCGAGGCATCAATAAAATTCTGTTCTGCCCCGGAATTGATCAGAGCGTCGAGAGAATGAGTCTTGAGACGAACCGTGAGCTTAGCCGCAATCATGAGACGAGGAGGAGACTGAGAACAGGTGAGCTCGCCCACCCGTACACTCCTCACTACCGGCGGGCGCTGTCTTTTGGCCGTGCCTGGCAATCCATGGCAATATGGCCCTTGCGGCCACAATAATAGCACTCACCAGCTCTCCAGCGACGATACCGCTCCTCGGCGACAGACTGGAGCGGCCCAGTTGCATGGGCTGTTCACTCTCTTCCGTGCTTTCCAACGAGTGACTGCCGCTAAGCGCGCCCCCACCTGACGTCCCCATGCGCCCCGGGGGCCTCTGGGAAATGTAGTTTCCGGTTCCCCGATGCGCCCGTAGGTGCTTATCCAACTTCACACATAGTGTAATCACATCAGACAAGGTCTTAGGAACATCTCTCATCATCAGTTCTCTCTTTAACTCTTCACAAACATTATTCAAGAGAGTACTTATCAATGCCGACTGGCCCCAGCCAGTCTCTTCGGCCAAGGTCCAGAATTCGACCGAAAAATCCGCCATACTCCGCCTCCCCTGCTTC